AGGGGTAGGATTCATGAGGCTGGAAATTCTTCAGACACTGCTAGGGTGTTCAAAGGGTGCTGGACAGTCAGAAAACATGGAGCATGACCTCTAAAGCCTGTGACCCAGCTCTGTCTAATGAAACAAAATAGAATGTCTTTATAAAAAGAGAGAAGGCTGGGTGTGGCGGCTCACGCCTATAATCCCAGTACTTTCGGAAGCTGAGGTGAGAGAATTGCCTCAGCCCACAGTTTCGAGACCAGCCTGGGAAACTTGATGAGACCTCATCTCTACAATAAATCAAAAAATTAGCTGGGCGTGGTGGCGCATGCCTGTAGTTCCAGCAACTTGGAAGGCTGAGATGGAAGGATCACCTGAGCTCAGCAGGTTGAGGCTACGGTGGCCGTGGGCATGTTACCGCACTCCAGCCTGTTCAACAGAGTGAGACTCCAACTCAAAAAAAAAGAGAGAAAAGAAAGAGCAGCGATGGCCTCTTATGCCCCATCCTTACCCTTTCTGCCTTGAACACTGCTGTCTCATGAGGACATGACATTTGGAGCTATGGCAGCCTTTTTGCAACCTTGAGGGGAAGTAGTGAGAAAGGTATACACAGAATCCAGAGCCCTGACACTGCAGATTAGCTGAACATCACAAAATCACCTATCTCTGGATTTACTATCATATGAGATAGCAAACCGCTCTTAATTGGGTACTTGTTACTAACAGCCAAAATACATTCTAATTAAAACATGACTTCTCTTGAAAATGGAGAGATATGGCAATACTGAACCTGCATTTACCTGGTGCAGGTAGCCTCTTTATTTTTGTTTATTTATTTTTTGAGTCAGAGTCTCACTCTGTTGCCCGGGCTAGAGTGTGGTGGCATGCTCATGGCCACTGCAACTTTGATCTGCTGTGCTCAGGTGATCCTTCCGCCTCAGTCTTCCAAGTAGCTGGAACGACAGGCATGTGCCACCATGCTGGCTAATTGTTTTTTTTTTTTTTTTTTTAATTTGTTGTAGAGACAAGGTCTCGCCAAGTTGTCCAGGCTGGCCTCAAAACCCTGAACTCAGGCAATCCTCTCTGCCTCTGCTTCCCAAAGTGTTGGGATTTCCCGGCGTGAGCCACCACACCGGGCCCAGACAGCCTCTAGCCTCTGAGCTCACTTGGTCCTCATAAGCAACTGAGTTTGCAATCCCTGCCCGGCATATCTTTCATAAGATGGCTCAGCTACAAAGCACTTCCTGAGTCCTGCCTCCCTAGACCCCATCCTCACCTAGCTAGAAGTAATTCTCTTTCTTTTGCCTTATTTATGTCTCCTATCATAACTGCTCATTTCATCATCTCCCACCGGGCTGTCAGTCTTCTGAGGACAGGAACCACGCCTTACTCATCCTTGTGTCTCTCTCTGCCATCTAGCGAGGTGCTGGAATACAGGAAGCACTCAAAGCATCTTTGCTGAATAAACGAATAAATACTCCCTGCAATGAAGAATGGCAATATTCCAGAATATCCCATTCTCTAAGCTCGCCAAGAGCTTCACACAGGTGATGTGTGCTGCTTCTCAGTCCAGGAATGTAACTCACCACCAAAATTCCATAATCCAATGTACTCTGGTCTGCTCAGGGCCTTGGCCCTGTCACCGGAGCACACCCACAACAGTCTTCACTCTGAAGTCTCAACTATTTCCTTACTCAGGAAGCAGGTTGGGATAAAGGTGATTGCATAAGACCCTTCCTAAGGTCATCTAGGGAGAACTGTGGGTCAACCACAAACTCCAAGAAAGGACAGAGGCTTATACACACAGGGAGAAAGGACAGCATGACCCCACACACACCCCAGATACAGATGGGAGGCAGCCTTCAGTCTGCCCCGAACTGTGTAGCTCAGAGCTCCACTGTCCTCTCATAGAGACACTCAGAGAACCCAGGTTGATAGTGAATCTGGAGGGGCATAACTTCCTTCTGCATCAATCCTGGGTCTGACTTAACCTCAGAAATGCCTCCTGAACTTACAGTTGACTGTTAGTTCTGGCTTTTGGTAGATTCTCTCCTGGCACCTGGCTCTTTGCTCTCAACCCGGCCTTTTTTTTCAGTTGTAATAAAATACACATAGTATAAAATTTACCACCTTAAACATTTTTTTTTTTTTGAGTTGGAGTCTCACTCCATCGCCCAGACTGGTGTGCAGTGGCCGCTCCCGGCCACTGCAGCCTCGACCCGCTGGGCTCCAGCAATCCTTCCGCTCAGCCTTCCAAGTAGCTGGAACTATAGGTGTGCGCTACCATGCTCAGCTAATTTTTTTTTTTTTATTTATTGTAGAAATGAGATCTCGTCAGGTTGCCCAGGTGAGTCTCGAACCCGCGGACTCAAGCAATCCACTCACCTCAGCCTCCCAAAGCACTGGGATTACAGGCTGAGCCACCAAGCCCGGCCGCCTTAACCATTTCTAAGTGTACAATTCAATGGTATTAAGTACATTCGTGCTGTTGTGCAATCATCACCACCATCCATCTCCAGAACTTCATCTTTCCAAACCGAACCTCTGTACCCACAACACAATTCCATCCCCTTCCCTAGCCCCTGATAACCACTATTCCACTTTCTGTCTCTGTGAATCTGACTATTCTAGGTACCTCATAGAAGTGAAGTTATATGGTATTTGTTCTTTTGTGTCTTGTTTATTTCACTCAGAATAATGTTTTTGAGGTTCATCCACACTGTAGCATAGATGAACACAAAAGTAGGATTTTTAAAAAATAATACATCACTTCCTCTAAAGCCTGTGACCCAGCTCTGTCTAATGAAACAAAATAAAAAGAATGTCTTTATAAAAAGAGGGAAGGCCAGGTGTGGTGGCTCACACTTATAATCCAAGTGTTTTGGGAAGCTGAGGTGAAAGAATTGCCTGAGCCCACAGGTTCCAGACCAGCCTGGGCAACTTGGTGAGACCTCATCTCTACAATAAATCAAAAATTAGCTGCACGTGGTGGCGCATGCCTGTAGTTCCAGCAACTTGGAAGGCTGAGATGGAAGGATCACCTGAACTCAGCAGGTCGTGGCTGCAGTGGCCATGAGCATGCAACCACAGTCCAGCCTGGGCAACAGAGTGAGACTGCAGCTCCTTCCTTTTTAAGGCTAAATACTATTCCACTATGTATACACTGCATTTTGTTTATCCATATGTCGATGGGCACCTGGGCTGCTTCCACCTCTTGGCTATTGTGAATAATGCTGCTGAGAACCTAGGTATGCAAATATCTGTTCAAGACCCTGCCTTCAGTTCTCTTGTGGACCTGGACTCTGACTTTCCCCTCGTCAGTTGAGATCTTGATCTCAGGCATGGAATCCTCTAGGCCAGTCTCTATTCCTCTGGGCAGGGAAACAGAATCCCAGGCTGGATTCTCAGGTGATGTCCATGGAGATGCTCTGGAATTGGGGGAGCCAGAGCTGAGCTAACTGGAAACTCAGGAGCCAGTTTCTGGCCTCTCCTAATGGAGGGCGAGTCAGAGACAACATGGCAAAAAGCAGAGGCAGAGTGGGACGGCCCCTCTGCCTCTGCAGAGGAGACACATACCACAGCATGGAGAAGAACAGCAGGACAAGGGAGGCCTCTGTTCCCAAAAGGGCAGGCATGCCACAAAGGCGGCCCCTGGGACTCCAAAGGGCAGCAGGGATTGCAGGGGCAGAGGTTATGAAAAGGGAGAGGGTGCTGAGACTGGTGCTATTCAGAAGACCTCCGTTAGAGAGCCTCACGGACGAGGGTGGGAGAGTCTGGAATGCTCTAATTTGACAGATGGCCCCCAGTTCAGCCAACTCCTGAAGCAGAAGAGGCACAAAAGCAGACACTCAAAGGGTTAGGGGTTAATGGTGTATCCTGGGTCTATGACCTTGGTTTTCGGAGCTATGTGCTTTCTGTGCTCTGGGGGCAAGCTGACTACAGCTGGGGCAAAGATGGGGTCTGGGCACCTGTGAATCCCTCTTACCATCTGCCATAAGCAACTTTCAACTGGTTACATATTTTTTGGTGCCAAAGTGTCTAGGTTCAGGTACCAAGTGATGACAGCCTGGGAAGGCTGCAGCCACTAAGGGAATATTAATTGCTTCCATAGAACTATGTACATCTTAAAATATTATAAAGATGAGCCGGGCTCGGTGGCTCAGCCTGTAATCCCGTGCCTTGGGAGGCTGAGGTGAGTGGATTGCCTGAGCCTGCGGGTTCGAGACCTGCCTGGGCAACTTGGTGAGACCTCATCTCTACAATAAATCAAAAAATTAACCAGGCATGGTAACGCGCCCCTGTAGTTCCAACTATTCAGAAGGCTGAGGTGGAAGGATCACCGGAGCCCAGCAGGCGAGGCTGCGGTGGCCGGGAGCGGCCACTGCACTCCAGTCTGAGCAACAGAGTGAGACTCCAACTCAAAAAAAAAAAAAAATTATAAAGATGAATTAAATATATCTCCTAAATGTCATGACCAAGGTATAGGCTTGAGGCTCTCATTCCTGCTCAGACCAAACTCAGGGCACTGGTGATGCCCTAGCAGCCAAGGAGGGCTGTCGGTGGAGGGGACAGCTCCGGAGCCCTCTCCCTTGGTGACTCCAACCCAAGGAGCTGCCCTGATCTGATGCAGATGTTCCTGGAACCCTCCCAAGCTAATGAGCACTCTCTGGAAGAATTTGGAGGCAATGTGTCCCCTCAGACCCAGAGACAGCCTCAGTCTGAACCTACCTTCCTGGACTGCTCTGAGATCCCAAGAGTCTGTGCAGTCAGCCTAGACGTGGCCATGGCAACCTGGATCTGAGGCCAGATCAAAGTGCCAAGGAGCCTGTTGGCTCAGCTTTTTACTAACGCTGGAGCCAGAGCCAAAGATGGCCTGATATCTCCTCATCCTGGTGATGCGATGTCCCCAGCAGCTCCTCCCCTGCACACTGGGTTCTAGAGGCACTGAGAGTCATGTATCATACAGGCTCAAGAGCTTGTGTATTCAGGGCCCTGTCTCCACCCTGCACCCTAGTACTGACCGGACTGACGGAAGAGCCCATCCACACTGAGATCCCATAGGAGACCAAAGGCTTCCGAAGAAGTTTCTGGAGGCCATGTCAACAGCTAGGAGGAGAAAAGCACTGGTTAGCGGGGTCATTCTTACAGAGTAATAGTAGAAAATTTCTATTACTCCATATTAAATAAATCCCACGTATTCCTTACAAGCCCATGTAGTAGAAGGATACCGCCCTTATTGCCATTTTACAGATGAACAAACCAAGCTCGGGACTGCGAGCGTGGCTCATGCCTGTAATCCCAGCACTCTGGGAGGCTGAGGCTGTAGGATTGCTTAAGCCCAAGAGTTTGAGACCAGACAAGGCACATAGTAAAACCATGTCTCTACAAAAAAAATCAAAAAATTATGTCAGCGCAGTGACTCATACTTGTAATCCCAGCACTTTGGAAGGCCGAGGCAGGAGGACTGTGAGCCCAGCAGTTCAAGACCAGCCTAGGCAACATAGTAGACCTCATTACTACAAAAAATAAAAAAATTAGCCAGGTGTGGTGGCATGTGCTTCTAGCAGTTCCAGCTACTCAGGGGACTGAGGTTGAAGGATCTCCTGAGCCTAGGAGGTCGAGGCTGTGATGAGCCATGGTTGTACCACTGTCCTCCAGCCTGAGCATCTGAGTGAGACTCCAATTGAAAAATAAAAAATAAAATTACCAAGGTATAATGACGCCTGACTAAAAAAGAAAAAGAAAGAAAGAAAGAAAACAGAAAAATAAACCAAGCTTAAAAAAGCAAGCAACTCCCCCAGGGTCACATAGCTGGTAAGCAGCAAAGCCAGGATTCAAGCCCAGGTTTGTGTTACTGGAAAACTACTCTGTCCACCTCCCTTGTGTGGGAGTCTTGGTCCTTCTGTCCCTCACTCCCTTAGGTCATAGCCATGACCCTCCAGGGCGGGAGCCAGTGTAGAGGAAAAGAATGCTTGACCACAGTTAGCTGGACAATGACAGCATTGGCCCCTTTCAACAGTTGAATCATTTTCAGGTCAGTGCCTTATCATCCTCTGAGACTGCTGGTTGGAAGATCCTTGGTACTCAAACAAGGGAGGGTGGCCACCTGGCTCAAGATCACTGGGGTCCTTATTTGAAGGCTCCTTGAGACTGAGAGTCAGAAGCTGGGGATTTGGAACACGGAGAGAGTATGATATGGAGGATGAGCAGTGGAACAGCATCCGCCCACAAGTGCCATCTAGTCTGGGGACACTCGGGGTGGGACTCCTGCTCATGGCCAGCCATGCTGCACGTCACACCACTCCGCTTGAGAATGCTGACAACAGCCCACTGTGGTGGACACTGTGGGCACACTCCTTTTCAGGACTGAGGCTCTCCCAGGGTTAGGCACTGCTGCTGCCAGGGTCTCTGAGCCCAAGACTTCTCTGGGCATTGACCTTGGAGGGAGCACCTGGCCCAAGGTCATGGCCCTCAACAAGTACAGCCTATATCTGCTAACTGGCCGATGCTGGGGTTCAAGGGCCTGGATCCTTTGCCTCAACCAGGACAACTCTAAGAAGTCGCCAGGTTCCAGAGCCCCGAGAGATTCCTTGGGGCCTATTGCTCTCCCTCCCTCACAGGTATGGGTTCTGAGGGTGCTCCCAGTAAACCTGTGCAGAAACTGCCAGCTGAGTCTAGAACTCTGCCTTCCTCCTTCTTTCTTTTTTTTTTTGAGTTGGAGTCTCACTCCGTCACCCAGACTGGAGTGCAGTGGCACGCTCCCAGCCATTGCAGCCTCACCTGCTGGGCTCCGGCAATCCTTCCGCCTCAGCCTTCCGAGTAGCCGGAATTACAGGCATGTACTACCACGCCCGGCTGATTTTTTAAAATTATTTATTGTAGAGAAGAGATCTAGCCAAGTTCCCCAGCAGGTCTCGAACCCACGGACTCAGGCAATCCACTCACCTCGGCCTCCCAAAGTGCTGGGATTACAGGCTGAGCCTCTAAGCCCGGCCTCCTCCTTCTTTCATAACTTCTTTTGACTTCATAGTTGAACGCTTGACTATTTCCCAAGAACATGAATTCTTTGAAGGCATATGCTACCTGCTTTTGTCTACCCTTCCAGCAAGGCTTACCAGGAAAGTACAAACAAGGGCTCTACTAACATAAGTCATAGGAGCCCACATAGGTCCACAGGACTGAGGCCTAAGCCTGTTCATCCAGTGCCTACTGTACACTCCACTAAAGCCCCTGGGAAGAGTGAGCAGGACCAATTCCCGAGAGAACTCGGGGATGTCCTTTCAAGGAAAGAGTTGAATGAGCAGAACTGGAGTGATCTGTCCACCTTCCCTGCCCGCTAGCTCTCAGAATGGACCCCAGGTACACGTGTCGCCCCCAGCAGCCCCAGGACCATGCCTTCTCTAGCTGCCTTTGATTGGACCAGGGGACCACTTTGCACCCAACCAGATTCCCCTTTCTGGGGAATTAGACTTGGGCACAGGGCCTGGACTTACTTGGCCATGGAGCCCAGAGCAGAGAGAGAAGCAGAGGCCTGTCCTAGGATCCCTTCTCTACTCCTGATTCCAGTGCTTCTTGAGGCCCTTCTCCTGCCCTGGGGTCTCATAAACACACCTGCACCTTCATGAGGGAGCAGCTGTGGATTTCTGCCTCTTGTAACCAGAGTCCTCACTGACAGCATGAGGGTCTGAAGTTGTCCGAGTTCACAGCCCTAAACGCTCCCAAAGCCAAGTGCACCTCTTTCACGGATCTGGCTTTAGCTGCTAGGCTGGTGGGGGCTGGGGAGAGGGAACGGGAGCATCTGTTTCTCCTTCCTACAGAGTGTGAACCAGAACTTGTACACTAACATCATTCTTCGCAGAGGATGGCCAGGCCTGGAGCAAAGCTGTGGGGCCATAAGGATTCACCCATTTAAGCTCCACATGGGACCACTGGCCCTGGCCTCCTGAGGCACAGAGCTGATGCCAAGTAACTCACTCAAGGTGACACAGTAGAAGCTGGCTGATCCTGAACTCGCACCTAGTCTGATCTCAGGCTGGGTCCTGGACTTGTCTCCTCTATGGGTCCCCTCCCTACGGGCCCCCTCCCAGGAAGGTAGACAGGCCTGTGCCTCCCAGAGCAGAGGTCTCAGAACCTCATGGAGGACAACAACGCACTAATAGGGGAGGCACTCCACACTGTGTCAGGGTCACACAAGGACCCTCTGTGGGCGACGTCTCAGATGGGCTCTTTGTGCCTCCCAATGCCCGATTGTGCATTTTGTCATATACTGTGCAAGGAGCAGAGAGAGGCTGCACTGGCTGGGGTGGAGAATAATGGCCCCATTGTTCTCTGTTACTCACCCACCACTCCTTCTGGGCCTTGCAGGGGGGCAAGGGCAATAGCTACACACGAGAGCCCCTGGAGCCAATGTGTCTTCTTCCTCTGGGGCAGGAAGGAGCAGCATGAAGGACCCCAGAGGAAGGAGAGAGAGCTGGAGGGTTCTTTCTGGATTGCAGCCAACCTGCTGAGGCTGAGGAGTTCCTCGAATAATCCACCCTGCATGGTGTCTGATTTACAGCTGGGGTCCAGGCTCCAACTGGCAAGAATGGGACCAGCTGGAACTTTTGACCTGCCTGTCTCCAGACAGAGACAATTCTGGGTGGGGGCTAAGGCCAGGCCAGCATCCTCATGCTTTGCATTCAGATCACAGCCATTGGGTTCTAGCTGTCCCTGCTGGCTTCTCGTGGTCTTTCTTGGTGCAACGGTGTCAAGCCCCAGGCAGAATGCATGTTCCCCCAAGGCAAAATGTTCTAGCAGCAACCAGGAGGGAAGAAAAGAGGCGGGGAGGCAGACAGAGAAGCTGTTCTAGGTATTTCCAGGCACCTAAAATTGCACAATGGAAAGCAAAGGCTCAAACACCCAAGCACCCTCAGCTCCAAAGTCATGAGGACCCCCACACTTCTATGGGTGCTGCACAACTTCAGTGGGCCCTGAGCAGCCCTCCTGCTGCTCATGGGATGCGAGATGAGCTTTATAAAACGATGGCCACACCTGTTGAGCAGCACAGACCTTAAGTCCACTAAGAATACCAGGCCCCTCAGTAAAGCTAAACTAGGGCACAGGCAGCACCCAGAGACGCACACACTGTGGGGGAAGCAGAGGCTCCCAGGCAGTCGCCAGCTATGGGAGGCCATGAGTGGGATCCTGCACTTCCCTGACCTTGGCATCCTTAGCATTTCAGTGACGATCAATACCCAATCAGCCGTCCTCTCCTCTTGGTCAGAGACAAGTCTAGCAGCACCCAGGGCAAGAAGAGTTAAATGCCCAACCTCCCCATGGCCTGCCAGGCTAGCGATGCCCCACAACACTCCTGCCACCTGGTGGTAGGACTGTGTTCCTCACCTGGAACAGCCACTGGAGCAGGGGCACGGGGCAGTCAGGCATGTGCAGGTAGAGAGTGCTGAGGAGGCCACTGTGCAGGAAGGAGAGCTGCTGGGCTGGCGGGGAGCTGGGGGGCAGAGGTATAAGGTTAGGGGAGGCCTCCTCGCTGGTGGCCCCAGGCATGCCTGTCTCTGTCACACTGCAGGGGACCGGGATGCCGGGAAGCACATTCCCAACATCACGGACAAATGTGCTTTTCGAGCACTCATTAAGAAGCTGTCAGAAGGAAAAGTAACCCACACCACCATCAGCATCGCTTGTGTTTCTCTAGTGCTTTCCCTGAACATCTCAGTGTCTAGAACACACGGCAGGGCGGCACACTGTGACCTTGCCACTTGACAGAGGAGGAACCGAGGTGTTTACCAGGAGCATGAAAAGGATTTGTGGTGAAGAGCAAGCCCAGGAGTCTTAGTCTCAGAACGCAAGGCACAGAAAGCAGTACCCGTGCACCATGGCCAATTTCTTGGGGTTACACAGGGTGTTTCTGTCCCACCTGTGTTTTTCTGACACAAAGAGGACACCTAAGACAATGATAAAGCAACAGAAAGGGGCCCAGGATGGGGAAATTCTGAGAAGGAGATACCAAACAAGGGTCCCACAGAGGATTTCTCAGTCACAAGTGTCCCAGAGCCAGGAGGGAAAAGCACCCAGACTGGCCTCGCAGCTGTGGCCACAACCCGTGTGTCCATTCATGCCATCTTTCTGGGCCTCTCCCTCCTAATAGGAGCTCTTGAAATCAGAGCATTGGTGTGGAGTACATCCTTGCCCTGGTAGATGACCTTGACCTATGAGATACCAGGGTTCTGTAAAATGAGTAGTTGAAATATTTCGTGTGTTTGTGAGGCCTCTGGTGGAAGGTGCTTCGGAAGACATTTTAGAGGGGCTGGTTGGACTGTCACCCTTCCTGAACTCCTGGACATGCCCAGAGAGACTGGGTTTAGGGTAGTATTCTTCTACTCCCTGTGTATTTTGTGACTGCTCCTTTGTTCTCTCACTCTAGACAATTCAAAGATAATTAATATGGATTCCAGGAAATGAAAGTGTAATTTCATGTTTGTTCTTTTTAATGACCCAAATCCATGTGAAGAACTTTTCAGATAGTATTTAACATCATGGCCCTAGATAAACAGTTCCTGGGTCAGCCCGACCTTCTCCTCTTCCTCCTCCCGCTTCTCTTTTTTTTTTTTTTTTTGAGTTGGAGTCTCACTCTGTCACCCAGACTGGAGTGCAGTGGCCGCTCCCAGCCACCGCAGCCTCGACCTGCTGGGCTCTGGCGATCCTTCAGCCTCAGCCTTCCAAGTAGCTGGAACTACAGGCGTGTGCTACCACGCCGCGCTAATTTTTGATTTATTGTAGAGATGAAGTCTCGCCAAGTTGCCCAGGCGGGTCTCGAACCTGCAGGCTCAGGCAATCCACTCACCTCAGCCTCCCAAAGGTGCGGGATTACAGGCTGAGCCACCGAGCCCGGCTTTCTTCTCCTTTTTTTAAAAAAAGGACATCATACTTTAATCTTCCAGGAACAGAATGCTGCAAAACAAAGGTGGTCCTCTGAGCCAAGCTGCTGTCTCCCTGAGTATGTGCAGGCAATTTGCAAATTGTATGTTTTTTTCTCTACATCATTTAAGTTCAGAGGAGAAAGCATCTTTGTTCCCATGGTTGTGAAGTTAACCGCTCTGAAATAGATCTTTATTTGTACATACAAACACGTGTATACCCCAGGGCTGCTGGCACACTGTGTTCTATTCCACGTGCCTGGTCATATGGAGACTTTCATGGACTGACCCCAAGATGTAGGGTCTGAGCACATGCACAGCACCCCAAATGCAGACAATACTCAAGCAAACAACGCCCAGAGGACCTTGCAAATTGGCAGGACCCCTCCAGAAGCCATGTGGCAAGGAGGCTGGCACTTTGGGGACTCTGAGGAGACTCTGGCTCTGGCATTCTGCTAGGGGGGCACCCTGCCAGTTTCTCAGTGGGGGAATTGATTGTACAAGCCCCTGTTGGCTCAGATTAACATATTTATAACTGCTGTTCCGAGAGAGAGAGACCCCACAGTTGTAACGTCTCCCTTCTGCTACGCTGGTCTTGCAGTGCAGTTTCTGTCCAATAAATGATGGGCTGGCCTTCAAGTTCATTGCTGCTGAGTTGGGTTTAATCTGTGAGACCAGTGCGAGAGACTGCCAGAAAGTCCTGCTCTGCCCTGGGGTGAAAGACTTTCAAGGAATTCTGAGTTCAGGACTAGATGACCTACAAGGAATCCCCTCTGCAGGCTGAGTGCAAGCTGGGCAGGAGGCAGATGCTGCTGCCCCTCGGCTTAGCCATAAGCCTAAGACAGACACTGACTGTGGGGAAAGAAGGAGGGTCCCCATAGTAGCACTCAGGTAGGGAAGTCTGGAGAAAAAGAGGAGTGGGCCAGAGGTGTGTGCGATGAAAGCTCAAAACCCTTGGGTGATAGAATCAGTGGCTGTCAGGTTTACAAAAACCCGCGTCATGTCCCCACATCAGGGACACCAATGCTGGTCCAGGTGGGCACCTCTGCCTGTGCCCAAGCCAACGCTGAGGTCAGAAGTTATCCTGAGAAAGCTGGGGGACCCTGGAGGGAGAAGTGGAGACAGAGCCTCTGTTGGCAGCACATGCCACGCAGGCCTGGCTGAGCTCAAAGCCTCCAGCTGTCGGCCCCAAAGATCCTGGGAAGGGAGGTCCCCACCAGGCCCTCAGCTGTGATAGATGAGTGAGGAACGGGAGGAGCCACAATCCGAAGGCTGCTAATCCCCAGCCACGACAGCAATGACAGAGGGCAGGTGTCTGCTTCCACCCTCACTGCGTGCTGGAACAGAAGAAAGGCAGGGAGGATATCAACCAAAAGGGGAGAAACACACAAAACAAGTAATAACAAATGAGAGGGCCAGCTTGGTTCTGCACACTGGGCTTCTGGAGCAGAGCTGCGACCGTCTTTCAATTTCTGCTCCTGATCATGCCCAAGGACAGGTTCTTCCAGCCTCTAACACCTCATCTATTTCATGGGCAGCGGTCCCAGAGGGCAAAGTCTCTAAATGCCTCAGGAATCCCAAGTGATGCCAGAAGGATACACACCAAGTGCAGTTATTCATACAGTATCAGTTTCTGGGCCTTTGCCAAGTTACTCAAATGAAAGCCTGAATAAAATGCTTAAATAGAACATAAACATATTAGGGTCAAAGCTTTTGCCTGTGTTCCCTTTCTTTGTATCACCGTGGTCAGTCAGGAAGCCCAGGGACCTTCAACAGCCCAGCTCACCACCTCCACCTGCTCTTTATTTTCGGGGGCAGATGCAGTCAGTTGGATGGCTCAGTCTTGTCCACATACCGTAACTACTGGATTTATTTCACCTGGGCTTCAACCCTGGCCTCTTACTCCAGGAAGAGGAGGAGCTCATGGCTAAACAAGAGCCAGGGCTGCCAGGCCTCAGGGAGACGGGAAGCCTGGACTCATACACCCCCTGCTTTCCCCTGTCTACTGGATAGAGTATATGTGAGGGAAAGCCTGGGCCAGGCACCAGGCTTCTGGAGAGCACACAGTCCTCACACCAACAGCCAACAGCGGCGGATGCACCCAGATGACAAAAGTGGACCCTGACACCCTATGAACACCTTGGAGGGCAGGGGTATGAATAGTTTAGCAGGGCAGGCAATCTCCACCCTTCTGATAAGCTTGCTTCTGCCCAAGAGCTGGACGGGGGCTTTGGTCCTGATGCTTTTCCATTCAGAAGGATTGGATTTCCTTTTAAACTGCTGTCGAGGTAGGAGGAAAAAGTTCAGCTTCTGGAATCAGTTGGTACCAACTTCTGTCGTGAAGGCACGTGACTTTGATCCTGGGGGACTGACCAGCCCATTGGTGGACAAGAGTGAGTCATCTGGGCCATCTGCAATTGGACATGAACCTCTGTAGATCTTATGGGAAGGCTGCTGGGACTCAGACTCGAGTCTGCCTGTACTTGCTCTGCGAGGTAAAACAAGCTGCTTGCTTCACTTGTGCCGACATTTCCCATTTTGTTCAGAGGGAAGAAAGATATTTTCCCTCTTCACAGAAGGGTAAGAAGTGAATCTATTTCAAGAGGCGATTTTTAAAAAATGCCATTCATTTTTCTCCCTCTAGTGATAAAAGTGATACATGTTCATTGTAGAAAGTTTAGAATACACAGAGGAGTATGAGGAAATAAATTTGGATTGATTACTTCTTTTTTGTTTTTGTTTTTTTTTTAAATTTTAGATTCAGGGGGTATACATGTGTATCCATTACATATTGTGTAGTGGTGGGGACTGGGTCTCAGGCGGCCCGCTCCTCAGATAGTGAACATTATGTCCCATAAGTAGATTCTGAACCCAAACTCCTTTCACCCCTCCCCTTTGCTGGTATCCCCAGTGTCTGTTATAGATGTCCCCATCTTCACGACTGTTGAGTTCCCACATGTGGTGTTTGGTTTTCTGTTTCTGAGTCAGTTTACTTAGGATGATGATCTCCAGCTCCATCCACGTTGCTGCAAAGGATGTGACGTCATTCTTTTTTATGGCTGCCTGACTGCTTCTTAAGAGATCCGGCAATCCTGTGTCCTCCTCCGTGGCCATACGGTGGGGTCATTATTGAATGATGACTATTTCCCACTCTTTTTTTTTTTTTTGAGTTGGAGTCTCACTCCGTTGCCCAGACTGGAGTGCAGTGGCCGCTCTCGGCCACCGCAGCCTCGACCTGCTGGGCTCTGGCGATCCTTCCGCCTCAGCCTTCCAAGTAGCTGGAACTACAGGTGCACGCCACTATGCCCGGCTAGTTTTTGATTTATCGTAGAGATGAGGTCTCGCCAAATTGCCCAGGCGGGTCTCGAACCCGTGGGCTCAGGCAATCCACTGACCTCGGCCTCCCAAAGTGCTGGGATTAAAGGCTGAGCCACCGAGCCCGGCCCTATTTCCCACTCTTGCATCTCAACTAGAAGTCCTTGGCACAAACAGGAAATGAAAGATGATCTAGGGCTAAATGGTGGCCTCCAGGAAGTGGCCCTTACCACTGCCCAGCAAGGGTCCGCTAACAGAATCACAGAGTCAAACAGCAGGCATTCCTCCAGAAAACGCAGCAGATTTCTCAAAGCCTCGGACTGGAGGCACTGGCAACACCATCTCCACAGTGCTTCATTAGCATATCTGAGGAAGGAGACTCTGAATCCCTCACTCCAGGGAAGCTGGTTGGCCACCTGGCCCCATTTGGCAGGGTTGTTCTGATCCCAAGTCACTCCTCCACAGGCCATCTCATCTGTCAAACACTTCCTGCCTGCCATCCAGTCTGGGACAGAAAACCTGCTATTGGCACAAACCCCAAGGCCAAAGCAGCCTAGTAAGACGCCTTCTTTTCTCCTCTCTGTCTGCCCCAATTCCTGCCCAGCCTGCTCCTCCTTTCTCCAGCTCCACTACTTTTCTTGTTTTTCCTTTGCATTCTCTTTTCAGCACCTCTTTGTTAGATATATTTTCAATATGGCAATGTGAACCTTTACTAATGTTCTTACATTCAGATCCAATAATCGCAACCCGCAGCTAGGAATGTTTTTCTAGACCTCCAAACAAATATTTATGTATAAAAACATTCATTCTCTACCGCATTGTTTTTAATAGAGGAAAGCTGGAAATAAAAGTATCCAAAAAATGAGAATAATGCACTTCACCATTAACATTATATTGTTTAATTGCAATGTTTGGACATTCTGATTTGAACAACCTACAAAAAACATTTTTTTTTTTATTTTTAATTTTTGAATCGGGTTCTCACTCCATTCCCCAGGCTGGAATGCAGTGGCAAGATCACAACAATCATGGCTCACGCCAGCCTTGAACTCCTGGGCTCAGGCGATCCTTCCACCTCGGCATTTTAACTAGCTGGCAGGCACCACCATGCCCAGCTCATTTTATTTTTATTTTTTGTAGAGATGAGTTTTTGCCATGTTGCCCAGGCTGGTCTCGAGCTCCTGGGCTCAAGTAATCTGCCAGTCTTGGTCTCCCAAAGTGCTGGGAGTACAGACGGGAGCCACCATGCCCAGCTACAAAAAACTTATAAGACAGTTGAAATCTGAACACCCAATGATATTAATGCTACTAAGAAATTACTATGTCTAGACCAAGTGTGGTAGTTCATTCCTGTAATCCCAGTACTTTGGGAGACCGATGTGATAGGATTGTTTGAGGCCAGGAGTTTGAGAGCAGCATAAGCAACACAGCAAGACTCTATCTCTACAAAAAATTTTTAAAAATTAGCTAGGCATGATGGCACGTGCCTGTAGTCCTAGCAACTCAGAAGGCTGAGGTGAGAGGATCGCTTGAGTCCAAGAGCTTGAGGCTGCAGTGAGCCATGGTGGTACTACTGCATTCCGACTTGGGTGACAGAGTGAGACCCTGTCTCAAAAAAGAAAAAAGAAAAAAAAATTACTATTTCTTTAGGAATAATAATGGTATTGAAGTTATATCTAAAAATAGAGTCTTATGTTTTAGAGACACAAACTATATATTTACAGATAAAATTATATGTGTCCAGGATTTACTTAAAAGTATTCCTGGGATGGTGGTATTAGTGGGTAGAGGTTGAGAGGAAACAAGATTGGCTCTGAACTGATCCTTACTGAAACTGAGTGATGGATACATGGAGGTACATTATCCTGTCTTCTTTACTTTAAATGTGCTTGCAACTTTCCATGAATAAAACTTTTAAAGGAAGTGTATCAAAATGTTAAGAGTAATCTTTATATCATAAAACAAGATGGATTTAGAATTAATGAAATAAAAATAAGTAAACCCTGAATAGCTGGAAAAGATAGACTCTCATGTTCAAGTTCAAGTTGGCCAAAGAGACCACAGAAGCAACCCAACCTTTATGATCCTTACCTGGTGGGCAAGGGTGGCCCCTTCTCCATCTCCATGGCCTTCAACCCAAGCAGGGCACCAGCCTGCAGGAGCCCCTAGTAGATACCCATTGCACAGTGAACTTTTTCTTTTTCTTATTCTTGGATATATTAGCTTGCAATTGCAAGTGTTAGATATGATTTCAGTAAATCTTTGAAGGAGACCAGAGCACAACTGACAAGGTCCTTGTGTTCTTGGCTTGTGTTCAAGGAACCAAGCCTATACTCCCTCATCTGGAGCTGATGTGATTTGGGGAGCAGACAAGCACTGCCACTGTAGCAGGCCTTGAGTACCCCAGGCTTGTAGGCAACGGTCTCGTCTGGAAGCTCTGCATTCTAGCCAAAGGCAGGTGAGGGATGCAGCCTGCTACGTAAAATGTAGCAGGCCTTGAGTACCCCAAGCTGGTAGGCAAAGTTTCGCTTGGAAACTCTGCATCCTAGCCAGAGGCAGGCTGTAAGGAATGCAGCCCGCTACATGAAGCAGTGTCTCAGATGCCCACACATCCAGATAAAGTCTTAGCTACAATAAAGCCCTAGGTACAAAAAGATAAACGCAGAACAACTCACCTTCTAATAGCAACATAATTCCACTATAGTTCGCTCATCTCCCCTAACCTTGATTTGTTACTTTATAATAAAGCAAAGCGACATGACGTCAATCACACCTGGCCCAGATGCTGATGTTGCTTGTTTTTACAATAATCCCTTGCACAGTTTTGGCCTAGTTTTGCCCGATATAAGAAGCATGCTAAATAATAAACGGGCTCTTACCTATTGAGGAGAGAGACCTCCCAATCCCACTGTCTCTTGTCTTTCTTTCTCATTCCCTCCCCCCACCTCAGGCCCTGCTCTATGGAGGCTGGACCTCCGCGAATCTTTAAAAAATCCTCTCAAAAAGCAACAAAGTCTGCGGTTATATGATAATGATGGTGAAGTTACTGCCAAAAAGAAGAAGAACAAGGCAGCTGTCCTATTGTTATAGAGTATACTTGTGGCTGGGGACAGATTTTTCAGTGTCAGCACACAGACTGAAGAAGTGCAGTGTCTCCAACAAGTAGACGGAAGTGACCGTCACATGTTTTGGATGGCCCAGAAATTGGCCCCAGTGATAGAGACATATTCCAAAGGCACACAAGATGAGTCTGACTCAAGATGTTCTATAAAACTGGGGTGTGGGAGAGGAAAAAGTGATATGAGCATGTGAATGCACAACTGGATATTTGCCATAATGTAGAATTTTTAAAGTACATGCATCAAAATTAGCAAATTAATAAGTAGATACGTGACTGTGTCACCTGTATAACTAAAAGCTGACATAACACTGGGTGCAGTGGCTCATACCTGTAACCCCAGCACTTTTGGAGGTGGAGGTGACAAGACTGCCTAAGTTCAGATGTTCGAGACCAGCCTGGGCAACTGGGGCAACTTGGTGAGATCTCACCTCTACAATAAATAAAAGTTCCAGCTACTTGGAAGGCTGAGGCGGAAAGATTGCCTGATCCCAGCAGGTTGAGGCTCCAGTGGCCGTGAGTATGCCACTGCCCTCCAGCCTGGGCGACAGAGTGAGACTCTGACTCCAAAAAACCAAAATCAACCAACCAAACAAACAAACAAAGCTGACATTCATATTGGCCAAAACATCACTTTAGATTTCTTCCTTTGGTATGGTCCTTATTCCTGGGCTCCAGGAGGGAGGGGGCCTGGCCAGGCTGTGCCACCCCCTCGTTCACTTCCCCCTCACACTTACCTAAGAAACAGCCCTTCCAGGGGGTTTCGTGGTTTCACGTGTGAAGAGTCCAGGATGCATGGCAGGGGGTGACACCTAGGCAGAAACACAGTCTCTCCTGGATGTACCGGCGGGATGTCCAGCAATGACACGGAGAACTTCTCCACCAGCATCCTGGCAAAGCAAGGAAGAGGAGAGCTGGGTATCAGCAGGTGCACCTGGGTGTGCTATACCAGGGAAGGGAAGGCCAGGCCAGGTGGGACCAGGTGCTTCCTGCCCTGCAGTCTCCTTCAGACCAGGGTGACAGCGCCACCTGCTGATGGAAGAAGAGCCCATCAGCAGATTCAAGCCCTTCCCTCCCTCACTCTGTCAATAAGCCCAGATCCCTCCCTCAGGGCACTAGTCCAGGAGCCAGAAGATGTGGTCTTAGCTCTGGCCCCACCCCATTAGGTCTGTCCAATCAAACTTTCACTGCGTGTCTATGATGCCAGGTGTGGAAGGATGAGTCAGGAAAAGTGTAAACAAATCACCACGATACCCTTGGGCAAGTGGCCAGAGAGGCCTGCATGTGGCTAGAGGAGAAAAGTGCTGGGTGTGGCCAGGGTCAGTGAGGGTGTCCCAGGAAGTGCAAGGGAGGCATTAGCGAGGGGGTGGTTTGGGCATGGGTAGAAGCATGAGACAGCAGGAGGGTCACAAGGCTAGATGAAGGAGCCTGGACACTCCCTCTGGGCCAGCAGTCCTCAAGCTCTGTGCTCTTGAGGACTGCCCAGAAGCCTGCTGCCATGCAGATCCCAGGCCCTGCCCTGCCCAGAGACTCTGATTTAGTGGATCAGAGTTAGGCCCATGGACAGAGAAGGAACAGGAAAAAGAGGAGCTATATTTCCACTACATCAGGGAGAAGTAAAAACCATCAGGACGTAATGACTCATTGAAATGAAGATGGGGAGAAAGGGAGGTAGTTAAGAGGAGTTTCAAGAATGAATTCAACCACCTCTGCTCCATGAAGAATGGCTATGGATGCCTGACTCAGTACATAGGCAGGTGAAAATAGCAAGCTGCAGAAGAGGGTGTGTGTGTGTGCACACATGCCTAGACACATGCACTCACACAGACATACTTAGATACACGAAACACCCCACACACATATTGATCTACCCTTCTATGATCTAGGGTCATCCCTAGGGAACAGAATGAAGGGGTGGGGAGAGGAAGAGGAGATAGTTCTTGTTTATTTCACAAAACTGTGTTCTTCATGATTCCGTAGCAATATAACATACATTTAACAACAAAATAAAACAAGCTATGGACACTGCCTCCTCTCCTCTTATTAGAGGATAGTCCCTACCCAGATTCCCAACTGGGCCCACTGCAAACCAGGGGAAGAACAGCTGGAGGCCCCACAAGGATCTGGACATAAGCAGATGGCCCTGGAGGTGGAGTGGCATAGCCTGCGGCCCACCAGTCTGCCATGCAGAATCTGTCTCATTTTCTGGCCAAGTGACCCAAGGTAAAGCCTCGACCCCACATCACAGGGCTGTCCTGAGGATGAAATGGCACAACGAATGGGAATGACATTGAAAAAACCAGAAAGGTTCTGATCCCGCAGGCTTTGGAAACAGTCTTGGCAAACCACCACACAAATGGTAAAATAATTTTGTTCTGTTTACGTCTTTTGCCATTACAGTTTTGTATCTACTGCTTTTTACATTGCTTTTTAGAAAAAAAACGTACAAATTATCAAGAGACTATAAGAACTAGGCTAATCTGTAAAGGGGTCCTAGCCCTGTCCCGAAAACCATCTTTCAAAGGGTCTTCTGTGATGTTAACTATAACTATAATGTATGTACATTATGAAGAGACTGAGATGACTCTTTTACATCTAATTGAGGATTTCCTGTGCAGCCCAGAACTGAGGATAAAGGATGATGTTGTGGTTTAAGTATCCGCCTCTCCCCCATCCTCAGCACACACACAAGGTCTTTTAACTTTAAGAAATGGAGAATTGAGGGTGTCATCTGTTCAAGATGCAAGCCAATTCTTAGAGCAAGTGCAGATGCTCTGCTCAGGACTCTCAGGGGTCCTTCCTAAGACAGGCAGTTGTAGCAATCACATGACACGCTGCCTGGCAGATGGAAGCCCCTACCTTTAGCCTCACCCATTTCTGACCCATACCCCCTTCCCTGGCCCCCACCACTTCCCCTAACTCCATTCAAGGATGGAAGGGGCTGCCAGTCTGTGCATTGCTTTTTTTTTTTTTAAAGCAGAAAGCTGAACAGCTTCATCAAAATGATCCCACATCAAAACAACCACCTCAAAGTGGCTGTTGTCAAAGAGGCCTTCTCCAAGCACCACTGGAAAACATCATGTGCCCAGAAAATTACCAGTGATGTCAAAGCCAGGACTACCCCTGCCTTCAGCTGGCTGCATGGATTGATTCCCTGTCTGTGAGGAATTTCAAAACACCCACACCATGACTTTTGAAATCCTGGATATACTCAGTGCAAAGGTAAAGGGCTAGAAGAATTATTCTTGTTACAGAGATTTTAAAAAGGTTGTAAGGGCAACCCCCCCTTGGGTCCCCTCCCACTCTGGGAGCTTTTCTGTCCTCTTAATAAACCATGTTTTCTAAAACAACAACAAAAACAACAACAAACATTGTAAAAGGTTTGATTCTGGCCGGGGCGCAGTGGCTTATGTCTGAAATCCCAGCACTTTGGGAGGTGGAGGTGAGAGGCTTGCCTGATCTCAGGTGTTTGAGACCAGACTGGGTAACATGGTGTGACCTCATTTCAAATAAATTTAAAAATTAGCCAGACATGGTGGTGTGTGCCCATAGTCCCAGCTACTTGGAAGGCTGAGGCAAAAGGATTACCTGAGCCTAGCAGGTTGAGGCTGAGGCAGCCAAGGGTGTACCAACTGCATTCCAGTATGGGCAACAGAGTGAGACTCCAACTCAAAATAAATAAATAAATAAAAGATTTGATTCCAAGGCTATCTCTAGTGAGTGGAGTGGAGAACCCGGAAACCAAACCCATTAGTCTCTGCTTGGAGAGAAAATTGCTTTCATCTTATATAATGCAACCAAAGCACTCTTGTTGAGGGAAGTTTTTGGTCCTGAACACACTGATTCAATTCAGTCTTCATGCTCCATCCATCCAGATGCTTCCTGAGACATCAGACAGGAACCGGCACCTGCCCTTCTGGAATTCAATGGCCCACCACCTTTCCCTGGATCTCCGGACAGTGCATAAGGAGTTGCTCAAGTCTGAACACATTCCCCGACTTTCATGGTGAAAACTGGTACCCATCAGGAGGCAGGGGGCCTCTTAATCTAGGCCAGGCAAGCCACAGCCTGCAGGCCAACTCTGCCCACAGCCCATTTCTGTAAACAGTCTTACTGCACCACAGCCATGCTCATTCATTCACCTACTGTCTGTGGAAATTTTCATGCTATAACTGCAGAGCTGAGTAGTTATGATAGAGAACGTGTTTCCCTCAAAACCTAAGATACTATCTATTTTATGAACTTTTCAGAAAAAGTTTGCTGATCCTTGATGGAGTCAAGAGATGAGTATTAGAAAAACTTGAGGAAAAAGGCAAACGGTCAGCCCACATGTGCCTCACTGTGTGTTTCTCTGGGAAACCACAGAGTATAAATCATTTGGGGATCCTAAAAGCAGTCCCCCACTCCCAAAAGTCTGTATGTTGTGAACGCAGTGAATACGACTGCTAACTTAGTGTGCGCAACAAACGTCACCAATCCCTGCTGAGACCAGTGCTAAACCATGCAACCCAGGCTCACAGACGAAGCCAGGCCTAGACGGAGATGCGCTACAGCATATGGACTGACCTGCCCTGGCCACATAGCTGAAGCCACCTCCTCCCCTGCAGCTCTGCCCACAGCCTGGATTACTGCCAAGGCTGCCTCTGCCTCGGTTTCCCTCCTGCCCTCATCCCCAGCTCCTTTTGGGCACATGGTCCTAAAGTTCCCTCTCTGACCTCCCCAGCATCAATTTCCCACCTCCTGGGTCACTCCCATTAGCCTACAAGTATGCTGTTGCTTCCTCCATGAAAGAAAGAGAAACAGAGAAAGACAGCAAGAAACCAATCAACCAACTGAATCTGACCTCACTTCCTTTTTTAGCTACTGCCCACTTTTCTCTTTCCCCTCTTTTCCTGTTCTCCCATGAACCTCTTCCGGTCAGATTCGTCCTTGGCAGCCCACCAGAGCAGCTCTTGTCCAGGGCACGTGGCCTCTGCTTCTTTTTTCTTTGTCTTCTTTTTGAGTCGGAGTCTAACTCTGTTGCCCAGGCCGGAGTGCAGTGACACGCCCACGGCTACCGCAGTCCATACTTGCTGGGCTTAGGTGATACTTCTCCCTCAGCCTTCCAAGTAGCTGGAACTACAGGTGTCTGCCACCACACCCAACACATTTTTTGGATTTATTGTAGAGATAAGGTCTTCCAAGTTGCCTAGGCTTGTCTCGAACCCCTGGGCTCAGGCAGTCCTCTTGCCTCCACCTCCCAAAATGTTGGGAGTACAGGCATGATGCACCACATCTGGCCTCTGTGTTAAATGCAGTGATCATTTCTCACCTGTCCTCATTCTGTACCTGCTTGCCAGCAGCCCGGCACCTGGGCAACTGGGTTCTCTCCAACCTGTTCAGTCTCCTTTAGTGACTCCTCCCCGTGGCCCTCAGATGCTTTGGGCCTAGTGCCCTGGGGATCTTGCTCGCTTCTCGCTCCCCAGGTGATCTCATCTGGTTTTGTGGCTTTAAATATCTATACACAGTGGCTCTCAAGCTTGCCTCTCCAAGTCGCCTCCCTGATCTTGCCCCGAGACGCCCCAGATGAACCCTTGATCCTGAGCCCTCCCACACCCCAGTCTGCATCGCTCAGTCTTCCGAAGTTTATTTAAAGACAACCCCAACCTTCCAGTTGCTTAGGCCCAAGTCCCTGGGTCCCCTTTGATTTCTCTCTTTTCCCCTGTCAGTTCTACCCTGAAAATATATCTGGAACTTGCCCACTCCTCACTGCCCACCTCATCCCAGCATCATTGCTGCTCCTGGATTACTGCCATGGCTGCCTCTGCCTCGGTTTCCCTCCTGCCCTCATCCCCAGGCCTTGCTGGTCCCGTCCTTAACACAGTGGCCAAAGGAGTCCTCTGAAGTTTCAGATCAGCAGTGGCTGGCTTACTCCGAGGGAGAGTTCCGAGATTCAGAGCCTACCTTCAGCCTCCCTAACGACTCCCGTCCCCCTGTTCGCCCCCTCCTCACTGCTCCCAACACACCAGGTGCACTCCCATGGCAGAGCCCCTGGAGCTGGCTCTCACCTCCTCCAGGTGCTGCTTAAAAGTCGCCTCCTCATGGAAGCCTCTTCTGACTCCTCATCCAAAATCTCACGCCCCTCCCAGCACTCCTTTTGTCCCCCTCCTCCCAACTTTATCCTTTCTCATGAGCGCTTGTCACATAGCTTCATTTATCTTATTTATTATTCATCTCCCCCATCTTAAAGTGAGCAACATGAGGGCAGAGATCTGTCTTTGTTTCTGCTGTATCCTCTGAAGCTATAGCAGAGCCTGTTACATAGCTGGCACTCAAGAAACATGGCGGATGGATGGATAGATGGTGTCACAGACTCAATGTCTGTGTCCTTCTCAAATGCATGTTGAATCCTCACCCTCAAGGTGATGTGCTAGGAAGTGGAGCCTTTGGGAGGTGATTAGGTCATGAGGGTGGAGCCATCATGAATGGGATTAGCATTCTTTGTTTTTATTTTTGAGTTGGAGTCTCACTCTGTCACCCAGACTGGAGAGCAGTGGTCGCTCCCGGCCACCGCAGCCTCGACCTGCTGGGCTCCGGCGATCCTTCCGCCTCAGCCTTCCGAGTAGCTGGAACTACAGGCACGCGCTACCACACCTGGCTAATTTTTTGATTTATTGTAGAGACGAGGTCTCGCCAAGTTGCCCAGGCGGGTCTCGAACCCGCGGGCTTAGGCAATCCACTCACCTCAGCCTCCCAAAGCGCAGGATTACAGGCTGAGCCACCGAGCCTGGCGGGAATAGCATTCTTATAAAAGGGACCCCAGAAAGCAATCTCGCCTTGTTCCATTGTGTGAGGACACAAAGAGACTTCAGCAAGCTGCAGCCCAGAAGAGGGCCCTTGTCAGAACCCCACCATGCTGGTACCCTGAGCTTGGACCTCCAGCCTCCAGAACTGTGAGAAATAGGTATCTGTTGTTTATAAGTCACCTAGCCTGAATAGACTACTACAGATATTAAACAGTGTACTCTGAAGATGGATTCAGTTGTGGTCCCTGGGCATCTCCGTGACTCAGTTGTATAGATGAATCCAGCCCTCCCGCCTGCCAATGGCCCAATTAAATCAGGGCCAGCAGAGCCTCTGCCCAGACGACAACACTGAAGGGGCCATCTTCTTTTCCTCAGACAGGGAAAGATAAAAAATGTCATGTGGTCATAATCTCCCCCTTGAAAGCAGCTTGCATTTAGATTGTGGATTTATATAGTTATTTTCTCAAGAGATCCAGTTCTATAAATTTGGGCAAATAATTGGGGCAGAGCAGGTTGTATTTTATGATCCCTGTGTCCTCAAAGGCCCGGACTAGACCCTAATGCACAGTAGGTAATTGGGTATTTCTTGAATTAGAGAATGAATGTGGCTTTATGAGAAGGAGGCAGCTTTAGAACTCATAAATGGCACACAAATTGCTGGTTGAAAACACTGTTGAAACTGAGAGTGGGTGGACACTTAAGTCCTTCTGCTTCAGAGGTGAGTGCTGGGCGCCTGCCCTCACCTGTGCTCTGGTGTCAGCGGCACTTCACCTTCATCGAGATCCAAGGAGTCGAGACAGAGACAGTCCTGCAGAAGCTTCTCTCGCTCCAGCTCTAGGGCCTGTTCCCTGTAGCGAGACGAGAGCCAAAGTCAGGGGTCAGTGCTATTTGTGGTTGTCCAGTCCTGTCACCAGGCTGCAGGGACCCCCAACAACATGACAAAGCCTAGGGACCAGAGGGCCACATGGCTGTGGTCTCCTTGCACAAAGGCTCCCAAACTTAGATTTACCTGGGGTGAGGGAAGGGAGGGACTGCGTTGCTTCAATGATGCTGTCTCCAAATAAGCAGAGATGAGCAGACAGGCCTGGAGGAAGATGCATCCCACCATACAACTTCACAGGTATCATTATCTGTGCACTTTTGGCATTTGCTCACCTTTAAACACACCGAGGCCTGGGCCTAGCCCTTCTGCTCTCCCCAGGGCCCAGCTGCATGACCAGGAGAGGCCCCGTGCCCTTCCTCCTCAGTGTCTCTGAAACATGGCCCAACTCTGTGGCCACACAGGACAGCCCTCCAGTTCCTGCTCATTCCCTTTCTCTCTACCCTTTGCCCTTTGGCCCACAGCAGCTTAGAACCCTCTGTCTTCTTCTACCAGCCCCCGGGTGCCTCATATCCCCTTTCAACCGGCCCCCGCCACAGTTCTGGTGCACCCACTATTATCTTCTCGGATTCCCAACTCTCTCACCCTTCTCCCACACTGACCACCCTGCAAACCAACCCCACCTTCCTGTCCTTGCTCCCAAAGGAGCCCTGGGAACCTCCCCAGCCCACCCTTCCAGGTGCCTGCCCTGGGTGTGTCCACAGGGCCTCAGTTCTCAAATACTTTCTCTCAAGCCCAGGCCGGTCTTGAGCTCAGATCCTCCTAGCCAGCCACTAACTGGATTATTTCCAGCTGGATGTGACTGGGCCCCTTCACGGCCCCATGTCCACCACTCAGGCCATAAGACCCATCAGGACCCCCATCGACCTCCTCCCAGGGGCCCCGAGTGTGAGCCCCACCCCAGGCCCCTCTCATCACTGTCCCTCTCTTGCCTTTCCCACCCATTCATTAAATGCAGTCTGCAATTTCTTGAACAGGTGGAAAAACACCTGTCTACTTAAAATTTGCCCACAGCTCAGTCTTGCGTCCACAAGGCCCTCATGATCCAGCTCCAAGCACACCTCAGCTGCATCTCCTGCCATGTCCCTCCTACCCTTCAGCACCGAGAATTCCAGCCCTAGCCAGCATGGTCTGTTCTACCTGCCATCACATGTGCACTCACCTCCCATCCCCCAATAAAACTTATCGTGCAAGTTCAAGGACAAGGACATCTTTGGGGAGCCTTTTCTGACCTCCAGGTTAAGTTGGGTGTCACTCTTCTCCCTTCATAGCAACTTTACAGCATAGAAAGTACTAGAACCACTGTGTTAAACTCCTAGGTAAGCAGGCGCTGCACCATCAGCTCTGTAATCTAGTGCCTGGCACAAGGTTATGGCACACAGTGTGTTATAGACTGAATGCTTGTGTCTCCCCAAAATTCATGTGATGAAGCACTAATCCTCAGTGTAGCTATACTAAAGGAAGTAATTAAGGCTAAATGAGGCCAAAGGGTAAGGCCCTGATCTGTAGGATTTGTGTCCTTATGAAAAGAGACAAGAGAGACAAGAAAGCCCTCTCTCTCTCTCTCCCCCTCTCTCCCTCTCTCTCTCTCTCTTTCTCCCCTTCTCCCTGTAATGTGAGGACACAGAAGCCAGAAAGAAAACCCTCACCAGGAACTGAATTAGCCAGAACTTTGATCTTGGACTTCAGCCTCCAGAACTGCGAGAAATAACCATCTGTTGTTGAAGCTGCCCTGTCTATGGGATTATCAGAGCAGCCCACGCTGACTAAGATAGAGCAAGACCCTCCCAATACCAGGTACTCAGAAGACCAGACTGAGGAGTCCCCACCCTTGCTCACTTTCTTGCTGACATTTTCAAGCATCCACTAAATGTGCAGCACGGTGCTGGGCACTGTGCAAACACAGAGACATGGTCCCTTCCCTGGCTTACAATCAAATTGGGGAAAACAGACTCAGGTGAAGTAGTTAAACAACAAGAGGCTTGGGATAGCAAAAGCCCAGAGGGGCTGCATGGAGGAGGGAGATGATTCTGGGGTGGGCCAGAAGGCCAGAAGAAAAGGCAGAGAAGACAATAATTTGTTCCACACATATGTTTCACCCTTTCCCATGGGCAGGAACACAGGGCTGGGGACTCTGGGGAAGGGAGAGACCTGTGAGGCATCACTTCTTCCAGCAGCAGAGCTGAGGCAGGAACCCCAGGTGTTCAAGAGTGGATGGAACCTTGAACCCTCACCTACACTTAACCTCTGTACATGTTACATACACGCACAAAGTAACAACAATACAGCAAAACAACAGGAGAGAAGACAAAAGGGAATTAGGTGATGTGAGCAAGCTGCTCCCATGCCATCAAAGAGCAAACACCAGTGGAGTCAACCCAAGCCTGTGTGCAGGCCATTCCTGGCCAGCCTTGGTCTCCGAAGGCTGCGGGCCTCCCATAGTGTGAGGCGTCCACTGTGTGCTGCAGGGTCTTGCATATTCACCCCAGAGGGCCCCTCAGTGCAAGCCCTCACCAGGCACTTGGCCATACAAAGAGCAACAGGTATTGGTCTCCAGCAGCACTATCTGCACCTCCCTAGGAGTTCCCACTCAGATCGGCCTCGATTTTTGCCTCTAGTACTGCCTTTAGATATGGCTTAGGGCAGAGAGGGGGAAAGCTTGTTAGAAGTTAATTGAGAAACTGGTTGGGCATGGTGGCTCACACCTGTAATCCCAGTACTTTGGGAGGCGGAGGCAAAAGGACTGTCTGAGCCAAGGGGTTCGAGACCAGCTTGTGTAACTTGGTGAGACCTCGTCTCTACAAGTAAAAAAAAAAAAAAAATAGCAGGGCGTGGTGATACATGCCTTTAGTTCCACCTACTTGGAAGGTTTAGGCAGAAAGATTGCCACCGCCTAAGCCTAGCAGGTCGAGGCTGCGGTAGCTGTGAGCATACCACTGCATTCCAGCCTGGGTGACAGAGTGAGAATCTGACTCAACAAAACAAATGGTAATTGACAAATTAACTTTCACATGAGGCATGGCTCTGCTGAAATACCAGAGAGAAGGCAGGTAAGAAAAATATAATGTCTATGGGAAAACGGGCAAAGTGTGCCCAAGTGCTGTGTGGAAGAAGGCGGCAGGAAGTGCTGGCAAACTCTCGTCTGCCCAGCATGGCCTTCTGGCCACAGCCAGGCTGTAAACCTCAGTGGCAAAGCTGCCTTTTCCTTCCCTCCAACAGAATACTTGAGTGGGAGCTTAGACATCCCCAAATTGGCATGAGTTGAGTGGAACGGAGCCAGGGTGGAGAAAAGACTCAGAAGGAGGGCTCTGGACGTGATGGCGGCCGGGAGCCCTCTCCCTTGGTTATGCCGCCCTCTGACCTGGCTATGCCCTCGTGCTTGGTACTGATCAGAGAGCACATAGGGCATGCTGTGTCTGAGTCAGGGAGGCTGCTTTATTCTGACAGGAATTTGTCATGAGTCCTGGAATGGCTGCCCACCCCACAGAAATAAGTACCCTATGATGGATGCTTTCTCATACTCACTTCTTCTCCTGCAGCAAGTAATCCAAGCTGTTGACATAGCTTTCCGAGCCCCAAGAGGTGAAATGGACAAACAGGATGTGGAAATAAGGAAGAAAGAGAAAGACAGAGATGAGGGGGAAAATCTCAGTTAAGCCTTTTATTTATTTGGTTTACTTTCTGAGTAGATAATATAGCCACATGATTAAAAAAATTAAAAGGTATAAAGGTGTATGGTGGAATGCGATCCCCTCCCCTTCCCAGCACCTTGCCCCCTCCCCACAGGTACCCACAGAGTAGGCATTCCTCACATTCAGGGAGATTTTATACAGACAGTGACAGTACTAGAGCACAGTTGGGGGCCCCAACACAGATGGAAGCATACCACACACCCTACTCTGTATTTGGCTGTTTTCAATTCACAATATGTCTTGAAGATCCTTCCATATCAATGCCAAAGAGATTCTCTCCCTCTCCCCACCCTCTTTAAAATGTTCAGGGTAGGCTGGACTTGGTGGCTCAGCCTGTAATTCCATCACTTTGGGAGGCCAAGGTAAGTGAAGTTGCCTGAGTCCACGGGTTTGAGACCAGCCTGGGCAACTTGGTGAGCCCTCATCTCTACAATAAATAAAAAATTAGCTGGGTGTGGTAGTGCACACCTGCAGTTCCAGCTGCTTGGAAGGCTGAGATGGAAGGATCAAAAAAAAAAGTTCAGGGTATTCTGATGTATGACTAGAACATAATTTGGTTTTTTCATTTCCTAGTGGTAGACATTTAGGTTATTGACAATCTTGAACTGTCACAAACAACTGAAGTCCTATGCTTAGAATACATATTCTGGATCTATGAGTCCTTAAATGTCCCCATAGTCTACCCAGTAACAGTAGTTTATTCCAATTTGATGATTCCACTTAGGAATCCCAATCCACTGGACCAGAGTCTTTGTTGCCCAATGAAGCCTAGACCCTAGTTCTGAGGTCACTCCTTGCTCCAGGGCCACAATCCCAACCTTAGCCTGAGAGGCTTGAGGGGATCCCTGGAATGGCATCAATCTGGTGCCACCCCAAGCCATCTGTTAGCAGGAGTTAGGAGCAGAAACAAAGGGAGAGGCGCAGCCTGACCTTGGGGCCTATGCTGCAAGCCATGAAAGTCCAAGGGTTGAGGAGAGGTGGGGGTATGTGGCCGAGGAGACATGGTCAAGGAGGGGCAGCTGAGGCATCGCTGAGGAGGAGGTGGCCTGGGGGTGACTGAGAAGGGGTGGCCAAGAAGGGAGACCAAGGGATGGATACTGGCTTACTGAGGTATAGGCGTCCACCTCTGGGGCCACAGTCTGCTGTCTCAGGCCTGCCATGTTCCAGGACAGCTCCTCTAATGAGGCCAGGCCCTCCTTCAGGTCCAAGTCCAGGGACTTCTGCTCCAGCTTCTCAGGCGCCTGGTTGGCCAGTCTCCTCAGGTCCTGGGGGCCCACTGCATCCAGCCACCTCCGGGATGGGGTCCCCTGGTCGGCCTGTACTACCTTTGGGTTTAGGAACTCTACAGGTGGCGGACTCCAGTTGGTGGGAAACATATCCCCAGGCACCTGCATCTTGGGCTTCTTTGGCAATTTGAAAGTTGGAATCATGACAGGGCTGCAGAGCTGCTGGGCAGGGCGGAGAAGCCTCTGGTCCAGGGGATGGTCGAAAAAGCTGTGCTTCAGACTGGGCAAGAGCATGGGCACAGCGGTGGCTGCCTGGGCCTCTGCAGACAGGACAGAATATTGTGGTGCCTCTGCCCACCCACCACAGTCCCAGACACTAAGCCACCCTAGGTGAGGAGAGGGGCAAATGGGTGACATGAGGGGTCACCTGGGATTGCTGTGGGCAGGATGCAAAGGAAATCCTTCAGCCGTGGGGTTTCCACGCCCTCTTGGCCCCAAGCCTTAGCAGGGCTCTCCCTGTGCAAGTGAGGGACACCTACCTTCTCTCTGAGAAAGGGCTAGCACAGTCTTCTGGGGCCTGGCCATCTGCAAACCGTGCGTCGTTCTGTCCTGGAAAGAACTGCCTGTCAGGTGAGGTGAACCTCCAGAAGAAAGCTTAAGGCTCTGAATCCCCTATGTTTCCTGGAGAGGAGGGCCTAGGTTGCTGGTGCCCAGGAGGGATTCCTTCTCCAGGTCCATCCTGAGGCAAAGCATCATGATACTACCAAGGTCAAGTTGCTGAGGTGAAGGGAATACACAACATTTCAGGGACATGATAGGCAAACATAAGGACATAAACATTTTTTTAAATCCGTAAAAAATTAAAACCAGCACAGTTCAGTGGAAAAGCTGTGTTCTGAGATATAACATCCTGCATGTCTTACTTACTTGGTGTCACCCTATAAGGTTGTTTGCTCACAAGGGGGGGTGGGGCAGGGATATCTGGTCTCTGCCACTTCCCAAGCACTAGCACAGACCTGGCCCATGGTAGGAATCTGTGCATTTCTGTTGAATGAATTAGTGATTTAAAGAGACCCTGGGACTGGCCCAAAATGCCTCCTCCAGCATGAGGAATTGCCCATCCCCAGCCAAGATGGACATGCCACATACACAGCCATTTCCCACAAGATTGGGTGTAGGTTCAGATAAACTGCAACACAGATGAAAGGGAGAAGAGTCTAATGAGCAAAGGAAGTGGCAGTTAACAACAACAAAAAATTCAACAAGGGTTTAAATTCAACAATAGTGAAAGAAATTCAAATCAATATGACTATGACATATTATTCAATAATAATCAAAAAATTAAAAGTTTATAACAACAAACATTGACACAGCTGTGGGGAGATGCACTGCAGCTAGCACTAAAATGGTTTATTCTCCTTAGAGTGTAATCAATTTAAAAATACTGCAGGCCGGGCTCAGTGGGTCAGCCTGTAATTCCAGCAATCTGGGAGGCTGAGTCGAGTGGATTGCCTGAGTCCACGGGTTTGAGACCAGCATGGGCAACTTAGCGAGACCTCGTCTCTACAATAAATAAAAAAATCAGCCAGATGTGGTAGTGCATACCTATAGTTCTGGCTACTTGAAAGGTTGAGGCAGAAGGATCGCCTAAGCCCAGCAGGTCAACACTGAGGTGGCCATGAGCGTGCCACTGCACTACAGCCTGGGTGACAGAGTGAGACTCTAACTCAAACAAACAAACAAACAAAAAACTGCAAAAATGTCCACACCCAGGAGTGACATAAACAAAAATGGTGGAGCAAGGAACCCCCAAAATCTGCCCCTCCACAAATGCAACCATTAAGTTGACAAAAAACAATTAGAATTAACACTTACAGAACTCTGAACTCTAATACAAACTAACAACTAAGGAAGTGCTTATGAGGAAAAAAATTCTGCTAAATTTCAGTAAGACCATCTGGCTTTTTAAATTACCCACCTATCAGCCTCACTCCTGGCTCAGATGCAGCCATGAAACTGTCTTCCTGTGTGGCAAGCTGGTGTCATAGGGGCAATACAAACATTGTTCTCAAAGAGTTATGGTTGTGTGTTTGGGTCTATCTGGAGGCTCCCTGGGAGATCTGCTCAGGGCCTGCCTCAGAACTTTCTCAGGGCTGGATGGCTTTCTGGGCAGCATTCTTCAAAAGCATTTAAAGGCAAATATATTAGCCATTACCACCTCAGGTAAGGAAGCACAGCTGGGGCAAGCAGGAGAGACACCATAAAGCCTGAAAAGGAAGAGGAAGGAGATACATGGGGGAATAAAGGCTTTGAAGAGCTCCCATGTAAACCAGAGAATCTAAAAGGCCACATGCATGCCCAGGGCTAGATGTATGCTGAGGAAAGACCTGGCTTTCAATTCAGGTTGATCTTTTGGCATCACATAACCAGGAAGCGAAGGCTAAGGCAGAGTTGCAAAAGGCCTACCTAAGTGTTAAAGGAATGCCTGCCACAGAGCCAATCTGAGGTGTACTCCATTGCAATATTCAAAATGTCACTTTTCAGCAAAAGAATGATGAAGCATGTAAAGAAACAAGAGAGCATGGCCCATTTACAGGAAAAAAAGGAAACTGACAGAAATTGTCCCTGAGGAAGCCAGACATTGAACTTACTAGACAATACCTTTACATCAACTATCTTAAATGTGCTCAAAGAGTTAAAGGAAACCATGGACAAGAAACTAACAGAAATCAGGAGAGTGATGAGTCACCAAGTAGAGAACATCAACAAGGAGGAAATTATAAAAAGGAACAAAAATTCTAGAGTTAAAAAGTACAAAACCTGAAGTGAAAAACTCAACAGAAGGTCTTAACACCAGAGACAGAGCAGGCAGAAGAAAAAAAAAATCTATGAATTTTTAGATAGTCCAACTGAGATTATCCAGTCTAAAGAATAAAATAAAAAATGAATGAAGAAAATGGACAGAACCTCAGAGACCAGTGGGACACCATCAAGCATATCTGGCAGTCCCAGAGGAGAAGGGAGAGAGATAAAGAGGCAATGTTTGAAGAAATTATTGCCAAGACCTTCCAATATATGATGAAAATGCTAATTTACACTTCCAAGAGGCTCAATGAACTCCAATGGGATAAACGCAAAGAGATCCACACTACATATATCAAAATCTACCTGTCAAAAAACAAATACAGAGAGAATCTTAAAATCAGGAAAAGAGAAGCAAGTCATCATATACAAGGGGATCCTCAACAAGATTAACAGTAAATTTCTCATCAGAAACCATGGAGGGCAGAAGGCAGTGGGATGAAACAGTCAAAACGCTGAATGGAAAAGTCAGGCGTGGTGGCTCATGCCTGTAATCCCAACACTTTGGGAGGTGGAGGCAAGAGGATTGCCTGAGCCCATGGGTTTGAGACCAGCCTGGGCAACTTGGCAAGACCTCGTCTCTACAATAAATCAAAAAATTAGCTAGCGAAGGTGGTGCATGCCTGTAGTTCCAGCTACTTGGAAGGCTGAGACGGAAAGATTGCCTGAGACCAGCAGGCCAAAGCTGGAGTGGCTGTGAGCGTGCTACTGCCTGGCGACAGAGTAAGACTCTAACTTGAAAAAACAACAAAAAAGAAAACGCAAGAGACTATCAACCAAAAATACTACATCCAACATAAGGATCCTCAATAAAAACTGGGAAAATTGAGATGTTATCAGATAAACAAAATCTGTAAAAATTTGTTGATAGAAAATTTGTCTTACCAAAAATACTAAAGTTAAGTTCTTTGGGCTGAAATGAAAGGATATTAGAGAGTAACTTTAATCCACATGAAAAAAATAGAGTACTCATAAAGATTACTACATAGATAAATATAAGACAATATAAATATATTTCTCCTTTGTAACTCTTTTGTCCCCCTATTTGATTTAAAAGACAATTTAAAAGACAATAAAGCAATAATTACAACTCTGTTTTGATGTATACACAACTTACAAAGATGTAATTTATATGAGAAGAATAGCACAGGCTGGGCTTGGTGGCTCAGCCTGTGGTCCCAGCACTTTGGGAGGCTGAGGTGAGTTGACTGCCTGAGCCCGCGGGTTTGAGACCAGTCTGGGCAACTTGGCGAGACCTCATCTCTACAATAAATAAAATTAGCCGGGCATGGTAGCACATGCCTGTAGTTTTGGCTACTTGGAAGGCTGAGGCGGAAGGATCACTGGAGCCCAGCAGGTCGAGGCTGCGGTGGCTGTGAGCATGCCACTGCACTCCAGCCTGGGCAACAGAATGAGACTCCAACTCAAAAAAAAAAAAAAAAAAGGACAGCACAAATGAGGGGGAAGAGACTATCTAGGTACCAAGTTTTTGTACACAGCATTATTGAAATCAAGTTGGCCTTAATCCACACTAGATTGTAAACTATGTGATATTTGTAGGTAAATAAGTATGCAATTATTATTGTATTTTAGTTTGTAGCTCCCTTTCCCCCTACATGATTTAAAAGACAAATGCAAAAAGCAATAATTATACATCTATGCTAATGGAAGAGCAATGTATAAAGATTTAATTAGTGACAATAAAAGCATAAGGAGGAGGGATAAAATTGTAAAAGAGCTGGGTTTTTGTATACTGTTGAAGCTAAACTGGTATTAATTCAAATGAGTTTGCTATAAATCTGAGATATAAGTTATAATCCCCACGGCAAACACTAAGAAAAAAAATACACAGAAAAGAAAATTAGGAGGCAATAAACACAGTACACTACAAAAAAATCAGTTAAATACAAAAGAAGACAGTAATGAAGGAACAAAAAAAAAGATATAAGACATATAGAAAACAAACAGCAGATGCTGGGTTCAGTGGCATATGCCTGAAGTCCCAGGTGTGGGAGACTGAAGCAGGAGGGTCACTTGAACCCAGGACTTCAAGGCCAGCTTGGGCAACATAGCGAGACCCTGACTCTATAAAGAATAACATTTTAGCCGGGCTCAGTGGCTCAGCCTGTAATCCCGTGCCTTTGGGAGGCTGAGGTGAG